AATGGCTGGATCTCAGTAGAGATACAAAAATGATAAGCAACAGCTAAAAAGTAAACGTAAGTAAACAGCCAGAAATGGAACCAGAGCTTTCGGACAACACCAGTCCTTCCTCAGTGGCGAGCGAGTGAGGGTAGAAAAAGCTAGATGGTATAAAGTGAGAATTTCATGCAAGCATGATTGGAAACAATAGGCTGGGTGAGATTAGAATAAACAGCCTAAACAAGTAAACAGGAAGGCCAAAACTAAACTTTAGAGGCAAGCCTCAATACATAAGCCAAGTGATTTATCCAGAATAAATTGAAATGCCATTGGTTTAATTTAGTGTACTGGGAGAACGTTCCTAATATTTAGTCCAAATGGTGTGGTTGTTTTAAGTAAAAGTTCCCAGTGATTCTCTTTATCTTTGCGATTTTTGTCGCTCCAACTGGCATTATGGTCAATTGCAATCACTCTGAAATTTGAAATTGTATGTATATATATATACAATAATAATAAGAGATAATCTGGTAATAATTATCTCTTAGCTAATTTGTTATGAACGTGTACGTAGCCGCTCACAAAACCAATGTTGCTATTATTATTTGTTATAATTTATTATTATTATTATTATTATTATTATTATTATTATTATTATTATTATTATTATTATTATTATTATTATTATTATTATTATTATTAATTATTATTATTATCATTATTATTATTACTATTGTATTATTGTTATTATTATTATATTTACATAATTTGATATGTATTTTATTTTGTTAAATTTCTTTTTACACTTCCGATACAATCTCAATTATTGACAGAGTGCCCTCGTGGAAAATGGCTGCCTCCTGATTGTGAGAACGATTGCCCTGTATGTTATAATGGAGGCGTGTGTTCTGTTCCATATGGACTATGCATATGTCCCCCGGGCTTCAAAGGAGATAACTGTGAACAATGTAGGAATAACTTTGTTTTTAGTGGTAATATTAATAGCAATAGTCGAGAATTCACTAACACTCAGTGATGCTTATTTCTCTATTGTTCACTCATATCCTCTATTTTTCTATTATTGCTCGTTTATTGTAGCTCATTCATGCATTTGATCATTTCCCTACAAGTGTATAACGAATTTTATAACATAATTTAAATCTAAAATCAACCACCAATTAGTTCTTTTTAACCGAAAGGTACACTGATTAATCTCGGAGAGGAATGTACAATGCATATTCTAAGTACTGAAATGCAAGCCATCGTTTTGGGATATCAAGTTTAAAAATAAACCTATATTATATTATTTGACAATTCAAAATATTTGTTTTATATTTTAAAAATGTAATTATTAGTAGGCTGTACTTTGTAATTATGCCAATTCGTAGTTTGAACAGTGCATGCCCGTATCGAAGTTAGTGGAGATAAAGAAACACACACAACACAATCATGATAGTGAATGAAAATATCTCAAAATTTAACTGTTTCACTTTTCATAGCGTGTGGTTGGAACTCGTGGGGACGTTATTGCACAATAATATGCAGCAGTAGTGGAGATAAAAATTGTAAAAAAAACCTTTTTTGTCCACCTGACCCTGTCGGTTGCTCGTGTATGTCTGGCTTTAAAGGTCTTTCTTGTAATACAGGTAACTTTCTTTAACAAATTTATATTTTGTTATACAATCATTAAAAAAACCCAGAAAAATGCTGAATATAAATATATTAAATCAAATACAATGCTCAAATAATAAAATCATGGTGTTATAAATCGTAAGAAGTATGGTTCATCAACGAAAGTTCCTTAATATTCATATGAAAAAGATGTGTCTGGCAATTCCTCGCACTCTCGGCGAGCGTCATACCGTTAGGGCCACAAAACAGAGGTCTGTAAGATATGATCACGGAGTTTCTTAGCCTTCATATTATTTGAGGACTCATACACATTTATCATTTTTAATCATG